AGCAACTACTACGATTTACACGTGCGTTATTTCCACTTATGTGTGTTGACGTGCATTAAACCAGTCGCGGCAATATCCATATTACGTCATAGCTGAAATGGATCTTTGATTGGATCATATGAATCGAATGAAACGCAGATATCAGCAGAATAGTGAAACTTTTTCAAGGTTATCTTTTAATCCCCTTCCATTATGTTACAATTCATTTGCATTGCGACTAATGAATTAATATGCCATATTTGATTAATCAAATGGACGATAAAAATATCCCAAGAATGCATACAAAAAGAGCGCCTGCTGTGGAATGGTATACAGAGGGCGTGGATGACGGCAGGATGCATGTGTTTGGGTCAAGCATTACGGGATAGGCGCGGTATAGTCCGAATTATTCTGACGTTTTATCAACTTTTTTCATATCGGTCTGTCGTCGATTAACGTCGGAACTCCGGCCCTCTATAATATGCGGGAAATATGCGACCCGCGCCCGGAGCGCACTTCAAACTGATATTTTAGAAACAAATCGTCACTTTCACACACATGTCGCACATGGACCGAAAGATCTATTCTTTATGCACAAGATGAACATACATAACATGCCCCAAACAACTAATACAATCACTAAAATCATATTTTTTCAAACTGACTCTGTTTTACTCTAGTTTTTTGATAGCCCCGCCTTCCAATGCCACGTGACTAAAATCTCGCCGGCCTACGTCATAACGTTGGGAAATACCTTCGGTAACGCGAGATCTTGTCAAGTCATGTGACATTTCTCATGGCCTAATTTCCATAAAAAACATGGGTTGGTATAGAAAACGTTGGAAAATGCTTTTCGTAATGATCTTTGAAACATGTTATTGATACCACCTAGTGCATAAAGAATAGATCTTTCGATCCATGTGCGACATGTGTGTGAAAGTGACGATTTGTTTCGGGCGCGGGTCGCATATTTCCCGCATATTATAGAGGGCCGGAGTTCTGACGTTAATCGACGACAGACCGATATGAAAAAAGTCGTTAAAACGTCAGAATAATTCGGACTAGGCGCGGTACTGTGTTCTTATCATGCTAATGATCCGGTGTCCGGGGACTGCTATAGCTCAAACACCGATACACCTAATTATCGATTAACTTTCATTTTAAATAAAAAATTACTGAGAAACGTCTTGCATTATACAAGACAATTTGTAATTCCTGCCTTGGAGTGATGATTTTAAAAAACACAAATACAAAATGTACATGCAATTTTATTGATTTTAAGTCATTTCGAAAATAAACATTATGAAAGATTACTGTTTAAGCTATCAACAGCGTGTTAACAACGATTCGAACAACGTTTACGTATGTCGCGTGATTCCAAATGTCATCTTTTACAATGAAACATGTAGTGATTTAATCGAAATGTTGTCATCGAGTTCATTCGGATCATTATGCTGGAGTGACAAAATCGGGCTTCATCTTAATGGCTAATGAAATACTGATTATTTTCTCTGACATGACTTAATAGTCATTATTTAGTAATCATAACGAATTTGTATTGTAACAATGAATCAACTTGATATAATTATGGTATGTGTCCGGATATTTTTCTTAAAATATGAAAATTATTTTATTCAGATAATAAGGCGATCTAGGGCCAGTTATTCAATCATTATTGGTTAACGTAACGAGTCGTTTTCTAGCTTTTTTACTCGAATTTTGAGAATGTATTTTGAATTTGTTATTTATTGTATTTCTGTCTTAAGAAGATGAATTTGATTTCCTTTACATAAACTATAATTTTGAGTTTTGATATTTTGTTGAAAATATACTACAGCGCAACTTTGTTATAACGCCGCTTTTTGTTCAGAGAAGATTTCAACGTTATAAAGATGTCAATTTGAAAAAAGTTATATAAAGGAAATCTTAAGAAAAAATGTAAAAGGGACTTCGAAACTTAATGCTCATAAACCAGATGCCAAATTTCACAAATGACATTATATCGAGGTTTTACTGTATATGGAAGTTTTGCGTTGACACATTTTAAGAAAATCGGGCTGTTGTAAAACCTGGCCCTGGTTCACTCCATTTTAACACGTACAGTGCCCCATCGTTCGACGCCTATACTCACCCAAATGACAAGTCCTGTACTAATCAGTATAATTGCCTACGACTCGGAACACCTGCAACCCAGGACATCACAGATGAACTCACGAGGTTGATTATCATTTCCAGTATTTTGCTTGGCAAACGTGTACAGTGTTAAATTATACGTTTGGCTTCAAAGCTGCCATTTATTCTTATATATATACACCAGCTCGTCAATTTTCAGGGGCAATATCATAAATGTCGACGAAGTTGGGTCTCGCGAAATGAAATTTGAAGGAAACAGCATCGAACCAAATCGAAACCTTGCATACACTTTTAAAATAAAATGTAATTTTCACATGTCACTTCAACTCCTTTTTATTATCTTTTTCGAATACTGAAAAAATTCAAATTTTAAAAGCATTTGTCATGTCAAGCTTTTGCTCTGTTACAAAGCAGAGTAGTAAAATCTGTATGCAGAAAATCGTGTAATACCCACCATCCAAAGAGCAAGGGGATCCATAATTGGGGTTGGGCTGGGAGGGGCCATCTCCCCCGAACAGAGGCATTTATTTGACGTAATTGTTACATTATTTCCTTAGTTTTTTCATGAATGAATTAATTGATTAATTCATTTGTCTTTGTGACCATTTTCTGTTTAATCGTATCAGTACTCGCAGCGTCAAATAGAAGTCGGTTAGGGCAAGATAACGTTCTCCAAAGGGGAATGGGGGTAATGGGGTCTTTCCTTGAAAGTGGACTTGATTGCATTTAGAAGCACTCCAGGAAGCGATTTAAAGCTTACAACGGTGACAACTGTTTAGTCCTGCACAAAAAAAGACAAATACATATGATGCAGTAAAAAAGTTAGATGTGTCTCGCTTTGACCTTTTTTCCTATCTTTTTTTTTCTAGTGAGTATCATAGCGTTTGGGAAAATACAGCGAATGTACACGACCGTTCAAATATGAATAAGGGTTAACAGAAAGTACCAAAAATATCACCCAACTTTTTATTTAATTTTTAAAGTGGAGGATTACAAACTAGAAAAAAAAAAATCTTGCATGTTCCAAATGCAATTTGTTATACAGAATAGGAAAAATCATTTTTATTCAAATCAAACCAGATGAAAACTGTCCCATCAGTGTTAGATCTGTGGTGCCGTATGTAAATGTATCCATCAATGTCACGCGTACCAGACACATTGGGTGATGAAACAGATCAGCGACCCTAATACAAGCAGGTATTTTACACCGGAAGTTAATTAGTCAAGAATACACACCGGATGTTAATTACTTCATAATAGCCAATCTGTGCCCAACGTTACACGTGATGATGGTGATAATTACACGAGACCGTTGTCAAGTCATTACCACCTCCAATAGTTAAATCACGGGTCTGTAATTGGTTCTTGCAAAACACACATTCCAAATCTACCTAGCACATCTCGTTCCAGTTTATTTATACATTCCGTAAAATATACAGTACTTGTCTAACCTTGACAGAATGTGCGCATGACTGGTTCATTTGGTCATTTCTTGACCATTACATGGCGTCACTTTATCTTGTCTTCAATGTGATTTATGTTTTTCATTTTGTCATCGGTTTTCGAGCAATCACATAAGTTACCGCGCGTAAATATGTTATTGTCTGCACCACGCACGTGACCTTCGATAATCTATGTCACAACTATTGATAGGTTAATCGTGGTGGAAAAATAGTTTTGAATAAATGGCATAAAACCTATTACATCAGCTAGATTGGATTTTCTCATTGCACAAGCACACGCGAGCGTACCTTGGCTAGCGGCAAATGGAGTTAAGAGGCAGCGCTCTATAAGTATGGGGCGTATTTGTAATATAAACATGTAAACGCTCTCGTAGAGTAACACTTGGATAACACAATTTAGTCGTTAGTTTGTCATATGTGATTGTGTGTTACAGTCGGAGTTCTTGAAACACCTGGATAGCCATAGACATTGGCTGTGCAGACAAACCTGATCTATTTCAGAAAGACGCGTAATAATGACATACATTGTACGCTGCCTACTCGTGACAAGTTTTATATAACAGTTATTCATACTCAAACTCACGTTGATAATTGTAGGTATACAAATAGGCATATATGACAGTGTACTTAAAATACTTTGTTATATTTCAAGTTTACACAAACGTTTTGATAAAAGAAATCAAGCAGAACCTACCTTGCAATGTACAAAATGATTACCCCTGGTTCAATATGAACTTCAAAGTATCTAGTCTTTAATCCAAATGATATAACCTTTTTCCATTTCCATTTTTTATTCCTTTTATTTGAAGAACTATTTTAACTAAAAATGTAGATTGTTTTTTCTTCAAATTAAATATTGAATTGAACTAATAAACGATGTAAATCGAATGTAATTGTTTTATTTTAAATTAAATTTTTCTATTTTAATTCTTATGTTGATATTTTCAAGTATATTTCAACGTTAAACATGTCATAAATCTAATGCAAACCTACAAGCTGATTTTTTTTCAATCTAGTGCTAACATGTTTTCTGTTGACTGTGTCAGCCGAGCAGCCATGAAACACGATAAGATGGCCATTATTATTTCGATCTTAGTATCAAAACATCAGACACATGTCGTCTGACTCGTCTGCTAAATTACCAAGAGAGAACAAAATCACATCCGACCCCGATATAACAGCTACCATATTTGGAGAGTATATGTATATATATATATATTTGTTAATATATAAATTGATTTGTGTTCAAGGTTTTTAGACCAAGCCTCTGTTGGCCATTGACTATGGCAGACGTTTTACTTGCCTATGTGACCTTACGGGGACGTACAAAAAGTGATGTAATTACCCTGACCAAATTGAATCAGCCATCCCTGTAATTACCTTTCAACAATATCAATCAAACCTTGTCCTTTTTTTATCTTGCAGGCAGACCACGAGCTCGACAAACGCGATGCTGACCAGGACGTAAGCGTAGACGAACTTCCGGTTGATGAAAAACGACAATTCGATTCTATCTCCGGAAATAGTGGATTATCAGGATTTGCAAAAAAGACATTTGATTCGATCTCTGGAGGTCATGGAATGCCCAGCTTTGCGAAACGCACCCTTGATAGTATATCTGGAAATGGTGGCATATCTTCATTTGCAAAACGCAAATTTGATTCGATTTCTGGAAATGGAGGAATGTCCGCATTTGCAAAACGCAACTTTGATTCGATATCTGGAAATGGCGGCATGTCAACATTTGCCAAACGCAAATTTGATTCGATATCTGGAGATGGGGGAATATCTTCATTTGCAAAACGACGATTTGATTCGATCTCTGGAAATGGTGGTATGTCACCATTCGCTAAACGCAAATTTGATTCGATCTCTGGAAATGGTGGTATGTCATCATTCGCTAAACGCAAATTTGATTCGATATCTGGAAATGGCGGTATGTCATCATTTGCAAAACGCAACTTTGATTCGATATCTGGAAATGGCGGTATGTCATCATTCGCAAAACGCAGATTTGATTCGATCTCTGGAAATGGTGGTATGTCACCATTTGCTAAACGTAAATTTGATTCGATATCTGGAAATGGTGGTATGTCATCATTCGCTAAACGCAAATTTGATTCGATATCTGGAAATGGCGGGATGTCATCATTTGCAAAACGCAACTTTGATTCGATATCTGGAAATGGCGGTATGTCATCATTCGCGAAACGCAGATTTGATTCGATATCAGGAGATGGAGGAATGTCGACATTCGCAAAACGACGATTTGATTCAATCTCCGGAAACGGAAAATTATCTGGATTTGCAAAGCGACCACTCGACTCGATCTCTGGAAATTCTGGAATCTCTGGTTTAATGAAAAGGAGGTTTGATTCAATAGATGGTTCAGCCGGACTGGAAGGATTTAACAAACGAAAGTTTGATTCAATATCCGGAAACGGTGGTCTCAGGGGATTTTCTAAAAAGAACTTTGACAGCATCGACGGAGGCGCGGCATTCCAGGGCTTCGCAAAGAAGAGCGAACAGGACAGTGACACAGACGAGGAACGCAACTCTTTGTCAAAAAGACGTATGGATTCGATTGTAGGTGGGGGTGGATTTGGACGTTTTCACAAAAGAAATTTTGACTCGATAGATGGAGATGGATCCATTATGGGATTTGCAAAGAAATCCTTCGATAGTATCGACGGAGGAAGTCTCAATGCATTCGTGAAAAAGGATGACGAAGCTTGAATGTCTTGTTTCGGTCCAGTGACTAGTGTAAGACGTACACAATAATGTACAACGAAGTACAACAACGTACAACCGCGTACAACTGAAAGTGTACAAAACCCAGAGTACACTTATTCTGTACACAGATCATTATTTTATTTATGAAGTTGTGTCTACATTTGTATCACCAGAGAGCTATTTTAATTATCTGTAAATATAAATATGCAAACAGAAATATACGGACTATTTTATTACGGCGAGATAAGGCGGTGAATGGGAGGATGGAATGTCTGGTTTGTCATGTGATATGGACTAAACTCACTATAGTAGATATATTTAATTTTACTTATTTTGTAATTGCTAACGAGGTGACCAAGCAATGTTTACGTTCTGCATGTTCTGTGTCTGAGAAGACACCCCAAACTTTTTTTCTTTTTAAACAAAATATTTTGTTTCCATTGCGATTTTTAACATGATTCCACATTAATTATCTTTGAATGAGTCATATGAATATTGGTTTAACCAGTCTATTGGTTTAAGGGGGTATGATGCGTGTGAGTCTCGTTGAACGAGATTTCATGTCCGACTGTTTTTTCACTCACAATCTGTAAGACCTTTCTTCATCATTTATGTACATTACAAATAAAACACATCTTACAAGTGTAAAATCGTATTCGTTATATTTTAGCATCTGAATCAGGTGATCTAAAACAAACAGCCGAATGAAAAGATGATGGGTAAAACAAGAGGCACATTGATATTAAGTACAAGTAGAATGAAAGGAAAACATTGAGGGCCCGACAAACAAAAAGGAATTCAATTGCAGTTGGGTAACGCAGTGGATAGCGCCTTTAGGCAAGACGGCCAGGATTCAATATCCCAATTGGACGTGAAAAGATACATACGTGGTCGGTCATCTGTCCGACCACCTGGGGTTTCTCCAGCTTCTCCGTTTTCCTCCCACATAAGATCAATTACGCGCTTTCATGCAGACCAACTAGAGTAGAGTGATTATAAAACGTTGACATAACTTGTTTAGCAAATTTTGAAAATTAAATAAAAAAGAAAATTAAACCACGAGGAAGTACTGTTCCGAACACTTGTAAGAAAACATTCACCTAAAAGGTCAAAGGACCTGTAAATTAGCAACTCATGTTTACAACAGTTTTGTCCGCAACTTTGATCCAAAATGATGTCTTAACATTCATGGTGTGTAATTGACTTCCAACCTCTTGAATCTAGAGTTAACAAACCAAGGAGAATAATTCCTGAACAGTATTTCTACTTTGCAAAATCCTTAAGCGTAATTATTCTCTGTAGCATTTGATCATTTTGCTTGATGAATTTATTTTAGGAGATTTTATTTCATCTGAACAACGTCGGTCGAGGATTTTTAATTCCCGAATACCTAAAAATTTAAACATTCTTTGCGTTTTTACTCAACAAAACTGATCTCGAAAAAAACATTAAGCAGTTTCACAATTAATTTGACATAGGATTTCGTTTGACTTACTACAAGAGTGGGCATTATTCGAATTGAAATGCTCGATTTGCTCCTTAAAATTGATATCGGTTTAGATTTGTTTCACGTTGGTAGTGGTTCTAAAATCTATATATTTCACAAATCTATATATTTCATATATCTATAAACTATAGTGAACATAAACTATAAGTAAATATTCGCGTGTTGATATTAACGCAAAAAATAGGAGCACTACAACACCAAGTAAATTTCCCTTTTTCAGTGTTATCATGATAGCATAGTCACTGGACAAATGCTATGTGACGCGTCTATTGAATTGTGTGCTACTTTGTCCCGACAGCATGGCATTGACCTTTTCACCGCTCCCGCACAAGTCTTCCACAAACGACACTTATATTTTATCGAATTAAGTCGCGTAGAGAGCCATGATTGGCAGACAGACGGACTGGATTGAAAAGTAAGTAAAAACGTCACTTAAAATGTGAAAAACAATGTGATGCGGCAATGATGCGGCGGTCTCTGTCTTGGCTGTTTTGCTGAAAGTTGAAATATGGTCATTTAGTGTCGGTTCAGTCTCTAAACAGTCAGACCGAAACAGTGCATTGCCCTGCCATTAAGTTTTGCTATACACAATTGATAGACAAGGACAGAAGTAACTTTCTTATAGTTTCGTGTCTAGATGGTACAAAAGAGATCGCGAAGGCCAATACCGGGTTGTACTCTGTTGTTGTAGACAAGTTGCTGGACAGAGAGGGTTTACTCCTGGTCATCATGTGTTGTATTAGGTAACCAACTGGTCATTCTAAAGCCTTTTAGACGCTAAACAGAAGGGAGAAAACATGTCAACATTCTACTATTCTTTGTGTAACATCTGGTGTGTGTTGTAATAGGTACATTGTAACTGTCTGGTCATTCTTTGTCCTGATAGACGCTAGACAAGCAAGAGAAACAGGATAACATACATCTGGTCATTTGATATCATAACACAGTTGAAAAAAACATATATCACATTCCGGTTTATTCTGCATCATATAGACGTTTCCTACACATGAGAGAACATTTCAAGGCCAAGTTACAGTTTCTCGTTTGAGACATTTGATAGACAAAAGACAGTGCAACTTTCTATTCTGACATCGACTGTTTCCACGGAATTGAACACATTTTCCACAGGGGACATGCCTAAATTCCACGTTAAAATTTGACTTGGGGTATGTTTTCGATAGGTCATATTTCCACGTAAACACTGGACTAAATGCCATTTAAAACGACGCGCAAAACCTTAATTCTAGTATAAAACATAATAATGCAATCACAATAGCAATCCCAATTCCAAAAAAAGAGAGATCACATAATTACTGTCCATATCATCGATTTGTTTAACGAGAAGAAGAGTATATGAACAAGGGGTAAACAGAAATACCCCCCTCTCACACACACACACACCTTTCGACTGAATCCCGCCCTCTTTACAGGTGTGTCTCCTTTTTAAGCCGGAAACGATTAATATAATCTTTCATAGGTGTGTACAATTGAGAGGGACATCTCAACCCGAGGGAAAGAGTTTGGCTGTCTAGTACGAGGCTTTATCAGGGACCTTACCCATGTTTGATCCTTTTTCCAGCGTAAATATTGCGTGACCTTCATATGCTTGTATTCCATGTCGCGCATGAATACAATTATATACAATTGACCTATTTTCATGTGAATAGGAGGATTTATTAACCTGAGAAGGTAATATTTCCCGAGGCCGGAAAATATTTCTCCTTCGCGGGTTAATAAATCCTCGTATTCACCTGAAAATAGGTAAATAACTGTTTTATTATATGACATTTTTATAAACTTAACCATGTGCACCAATCCATATTTAGCATATTTCGCCATGATTATGGCACCTGCAATGAAATTCTGCATACACAGAATATGTGTCCCTGTGCAATTAAAATGACCTTATATGAGCTGTTAATAAGATCAAAAACACCATACTGCGTAATGTGAGTAAATGGGAGAAAACTCAATCGAACAAATTTAGTATTTATTTAATTTAACAAAATTTATATGCATTGAAAGTAAACTTTCAAGGATAAAAATACAGTACCGTGTTACGGTTACGCCCGAGTTGTTTCGTTGCAGCATCAAACACTTTGTTGCATTCAGCAAATTCAGCGCCATGCGCTATATCCATGTTACAACCGACGCTCGAAAGGTATCGGTTGATACCATGCTGAATACTTAAGAGATAACAACGTTGATATTTCTAATCGTCTTTCCTACTCATTTCCACATTAAACTTTCGAAGAACATTGCAGAGTTCGAGCGCCTGCATGTCAACAAAGTCCGTGTCTATTGCTTTTTCTTTCAAATGTTCACGCAATATACAAACGGACGTGTCGGTAGCTTTAACAGTGTTTCTAGTATCCTTTTGCACCAAGATAGTTTTAAGTTGGTCATCAGAAACAGTTCCAAATCTTGACAAGCCGGATTTGTTTACACTGCAGTCTGCCATTTTCTCTCCAGTGAGGCAACAACAATCCGTGCCTCTGATTGGTCAAAAATTGCAGCACAGGTTACTGGATTGTAATATTCATCTGCGAGGCGCCAGTCGGGGTTTTAGATTGTTATTTTCACCTCGCGTGCACGGATTCTGTAGGTTTCGGGGTAACATCGCAATATATTTAGACCTATAAGAGGTGTTTTGACCAATCAGTGTGTGGGAAAAATGACAGTTATATAATAATGTTAATTATAGAGGGGTGATGAACCTTTAACATACAATCAGAAATCCAAGCACAATGTTAATGACATTAGTTCTGTAATTAATAATCCAACAACTGTAATATATCAGTTAATATATTTTATAATAAACGCAAAATAAAACGAAAATTTAACAGTCGAAACAATGGAACTATTCCAAACGCCGACGTCATTTAGGGAATTCGCCCGGCGACAATAACTCCAATCGTCTGTTAATCACTGACGTAGTAACGTGATATCGTTGTGACGTCATAGTGCTTGAAGGCTGTCTTTCCCTCACGAAAGACAGGTAGTCCTTGCATACTAGGCTGAGATATCCGCACTTCCGGCGGTGCTGGAAAATTATATGCCACCCACGGGTCTGGATCGCTTACACGCGCAGACTGCCGGGGGAATTGTATGACGCTTACCGGTCAGTCAGTGTCATTGACGTCATTTACAGTTGCCATCTGGGCTTCATATTACATGTAACTCACATCAGGGATGGATTCTGTTAATATTTTCATGGGCCAATTCCTGTCTTTTAAGGGCAAGTATGTGGGAACAGCTTTTCTCACTTATTTCACAGTGATCCCGTTGTTGTTAGGGAAGAGATCACTCTTTCTTGCATACTAGACCGAGATTTCCGCATTTCCGGCGGTGCTGGAAAATCATATCCGACCCACGTGTCTAGATCGCTTACACGCGCAGACTTGCGGGGGAATTATAGTGACCTTTCGGGATCACGCTATTGTCCGTGACGTCATTTTATGACGTTTTGGGGTCAGTCAGGGTCTTTGAAGTCACTAACAATTGCCATTCGGGTTTCATATGCAAATGAGAAATGTGCTGACAGTTTACAACTGTACTACAAGAGCAGCTGTGTTTACGGGTTTTAGGTAAGATATAAGGTAAGGATAAGGTTATTCAAACCACCGGGATAAAATATTGAGCAAAAGACCCCCGGCAAAGCCTCAGGTCTCCTGCTCAATATTTTATCCCTTGGGGTTGAATAACATTATCTATACTTCATATCAGGGGTAGGGAAAGACAGCTGACACGCTATGACGTGATAATAATGAAGTGTCGATGTGACGTCATTGTATTGTTTCCATGATATTATTATTCTATTATTGCCCTTTCCCGAGGGAGTTGTTCTCTTATAGTGCTAGGTCACATACGGCTCCCCTTTCCAGTAGGAAGTCTTTAAGGACTGCGACGTCAAATGGTGTCGCTTGTTTCGCCTTTATGCATTGCTGAGCTTCTGCAAAGCAATCGGCATTCCTGGCCCCGAGATTCGAAGCCATTTTGGCAGACAACAACAATGAAGTGAAAGTAGAATATTTACAGCGCCCCCTAGGAGAAGGGGCGCAACTCTTAGCGTCACGCTACTTTTCCCGCAGTCTCAGCGGTCCAAAAAAAATGTATAGTGCCCATTTCCAGGTATGGTTCCCG